TTCATGTCTTCCATGAAACAGTCCAAAAGTAGCAGCAGCAGCTTGGGCGAGGAGGCACTAATTTTGTTCCTCCTCCAGTTCTCATCTGCCAGAGCAGCTTTTATTAGATGTATTCCCCATGTGTACTTGCTTTCCAGCACAACCCTAGGAGGAAATCAGGACATCACTTTTTCTATTGTAACCATATATCCAAAGTAAAGGAAACAGCAGAGATTCCCTTTCTCTTTTTTTGCCTGAAGACTTTTTCCTGGAGTGCATGGAACATATCTCAGCACATGTATTGCCAGCTCTTTCAGTGTTGCCTTTAGCTATTCCATGCTATAATTTTTTCCATATGCTATTCCTCCTCCACTTGCCTCCCCCTGCATTCTTGATGTCACAGGCATGTTACATATTCCCACTATTTAATTTTTACCCAAGATTTTATGTTATACAGATGCACCTGTGGGATGAATTTGTCTAAGGCAGTCACAACGAGAATTGCTCAGGACCTCCTCCATTTCACTCCATCTTTTTCTGTATAAAAATGACACCTGCATTTCACATTAACTCGTGTTGAAACACAGCAACCAGTACCTGAGGAAGCAGACCTTGATTTTTCCCTCTTCCCATCAATACCCAACCACCATCCTGTGCAGCACCTCCTATGCAGGTGGGACTCAGGTGTTGAGAATAAGCAAGAGGCCATCACATCTCCCTGTTACAAAGGTATTTTGGCACCGCTGTCATGGAGGGCAGATACTTCATTGAACAATACACAACCAACACTGACACAGTGCTTTTCATCGGGGACTTTGCAGAGCTATACCTAGGAAATTCTTCACTTCTTTCCCAGTTTATTGGGAAAACGAAGCAAACCAGAACTGAAGCAATTTGCCTAGTCACACAGCAAGTTGCAGATTTGGGAACAGAATCCCAAATGCTTCTCAGTCCAGAATTTTATGGATCGGTCAAAGGTGGCTGACTAAATGGCCGTCTTGATAAACCAAAGCCACAAGACTTTTGCATCAAAACTACTGAACTTCCTAGCCTGTCTTACTGCATCGCAGGTGCTCTTGTAACCTTTTCTACACCATTTTGGAAATTTATGTGCATATCAGGGATATATAATTTGAAGGGAGAAAAGACCAGCTGGAAATATGCAAGATCTCGTAAGACCAACATTTCCTCCAGTGCACCTTGATGCAAGGTGATTACCCTGGGGAAACAAAGGTCAACTCTAAGCATGTCAGAAGGCCCATCTCAGTCCCTTGAAAAGAAAATATGGGTAAGGAAAAGCGGGAGTATTTCAGATCCTTCCAATGACAGTAAAGCCCAGCACTGGCAGTGAATCAGTTCATTGCTATAATATACCCTCGTGGGTTTTGTTCTGTTACTGACTTTAGAGTTATAAAGCCTTACCCAGCTGAGAAACGATCGAGATATATAGACTCCAAGTTTTCCAGAAATGCAATGGTTTTCAGTGCTCTCAAACCGAAGACACATGGGTTTTTCCTGGAGTAAATGGTAGCACCAGGCAGTAAAGGCACAACCTGTTCACTCCTGCGCAGGAGGCACCTTCTGCATCTTGCTAATGGGCCCAGGCTGCAGACTTCTGCAAAAATGGGCCTCTCCTCAGAGGACACAAGCCATTACATGGCATACCCTACCTTCCAGGGAAATGGAGATCCTATTAGGTCTGATAAGAACCCCAGTGCAAACCAGACATTATCAAGTTACCTAAGAACGGAAGACTCATGTCTAATATGTGAGGATTTGACCAAAGCTTGCATAGATAGCACTCAGAGTTGGTAGGGGGATGATTCATGGTGGTTTTCTCTTTTATTCTTCTGTTGAGGCCTTCAGGGATTCCATAGGTAGCTTCTCTGGGAAAGTTACATGCTGCAGACTTACTTGCAAAGACTTCCAAAATGCAATCCTTGGGAAAATGTGCAGTGAGCATGCATAGACACAGCTGTAATTCTGACATCTTCAACACATACTTTCTCTAAACACAGGGCAGAGTTTTCCCCTACTTACAGTCTTTCATCAAAGTCCCACTTTGCCTTGAAAAGTGAGGAATAGGGAGAAGGAAGCAAAACACTGTTTGCAATCAGTAACCTGCATAGGATGCTGACCCCCCAACAAACACTACCTTTTAGCATAGACATGAAAGTTAAATATCCCTTTTTTAGTTTTCAAATGCCAGGTTCAGCACTGTCATGGATCAGTTTTACTTTTCCAAAGCATCCACTGCCATACAGGAGCCAGATAGCCACAGAAGATGACAACATCCACAGAAGTCATGGCAGGCTTGGTAAACAGCCACCCAACAGGACTGATGCACAAACAGCAGAACTGTATTTGTTAACACAGTCAATTCAATCAGCAACCCTGAAACATAAGCTTTTTTATTAATAAACACAGGAAATAAATTGTTGGCAAGTCACACACTGGCACTCACTTCTACTGACTCAAGAGTTTTGGGATACGCAAGTTACTGAAAAAAAAATACATCACACAAAAAAGGGGAAAAGGAGAGGAAGAAAGGAAGCGATTCAAGAAATCATAACAAAACTCCCATCCCCTCTATCTGACAAATTACTCACTTGCTTTCACAGAAAGAAGGGAAGGAGAATAACAACTCAGACTTTCAAAGGGACTGTTTGTAAATGTGTCTGCCCAGATCTAAACCTGTGCTTTGCCTGCGCCTGTGTGAATAGGTGACCAAAGGAGCAAACTACTTAAAAACACTTCATGCTTGAAGTAGCTTGGAAGTCTTGGTTCTAATCTCTCTACTTGCAGTTCAATGAATAATGGAGTTACAAGCCTGCATATTCATAATTGCCTCAACTAAAATGGAAACTGGGTGCAAGTCTGGCTGAAAATCCCTTTTTTTTTTGAGGCTGCTTGCAAATGAGTTTTACTCCCAATTTACTGCAGATGTGCTCAGCTCACGCAAAGCAGAATTGAGTCTGCTACAAGGACTGAGCCATGCAGTCATTCAAGGGCAAAAAGGCACCTGGTCGCACTTCGTTAGATGCCTGCTCCTGTTAACTACACTAGAAACTACATGGAAACTACCGGAAGTCATCTTGCTACTCACAAGCTACTCACTTTTGGTAAATTGCAGGTTGCATAACTCACCAGAGCAAAGCACACATTCAAATATGTATAAAGTAGCAGCTGTTCCTTGGGTGAGGGCAGAAGAATAGTACTGGACAGCAGCTAAATGTAGCAATGAAATAGTTGTGAAACACGCAGGAGCTGGGGCACATGGAAAATGAGAACCACATTTAAAACTCTGCTGAGAACAAGTGTGAAAATAGCTGTTTCTGTCGCATGCTTTGTGTCTCCAGGGGGTTCTGCACAAACGCTGTACAGTGCAACACCATGTCCCTCATGCTGTCTAATATTTTTTAGATACCATCATCATTTTCCCTTGCCCCAGTGTACAGTCCTCTTGAGGAGGTGGAAGAGCTCTTGTAATTTGCTGGCAAAGCCCAAACTGTGTCAGGTTATGAGCACATCCAAGGGCATGTAGGCTTACCCTCCAGTTCCCTCGGTTTAATGCACAGTGGGACAGGCCTACATGAATTAAGTCAGAACTGCCATTTTCTAGAACTCATAACAGTGACGTAGAACACTGAGGTGAGACACACAGTTGGGAACAGAAGTATGGCATCATGGTTGCAGCACAACTTTTACACGTGATTTGGGTAAAAACTGCCTTTGAGAAGTGCCAAGTGGTCGGAAGGAAGACAAAGCAGCAGTGTATTTTTCCATTTGAAAGCTGCTGTTTTCCTTTTGGGATAGGGGAAAGTTTCCTCTACAACTTAAAGAGATTTTTCTAGCTCACAAGTGATTTTAAACATGTTTTCTGTCTCATCAATTCTACAGCACATACACCTAAGCCATTGCTATGGATAACAGGTAGAAAGGAAGTACACTACTATTTCAAGCTTCACATAGCAGGCTGTGTGGAATTTAAAGTTTCTTCATAGTAAAACAGGAAGAGGACTGAGACAACAGTAATAAAATCAGAGCCATCCAACTTATATTTCAGTTAATATTCAGTGTATTATGAACAAGGTGCATCTAGCACATTCAAAGCTATCTATAGACACACTAACTTTATTCTGGGAAAGGGTATCATTAATTAGTTGAATCCCTGAGATAGCTTAGGAAACATCTGTATATTCCCAGCAGTCTATAAACTAGCAAGTACTGGGAGAGAGAGAAGAGGGCAAAAAGATCCAAAACCCACTGTGCTTGAGCATTTACCTTTGCCTTCACGATGAGGGAGTTGAACTGCAAGTTCAGCCTTCAGCAGTGACTGAAGTAGCCATGAGATCTGGGTCTTTAGGCATGATTAAAGATACCTTCAGAATGGTGGGGGTTTTAGGTCTGGTTTGGGATTTTTGTTTTAACTGCTCCAATGCCAGAATTACCCTCATAGCAGAGCTAGTGTCAAACCAGAAATTCAGTGTGTTACCTGTAGGAATTTAAATGGGGCTTTTCCCCTCCGCCTTTAAAATACAAGCTTTTAATATCCCTCTCCACCCCCCAAGAACCATCATCTGCCCCTCAGATCAGCTTCCTTTGACAAACCACTTCTGAGAGCTTTGAGTCTTAGCTGTCAGTAAATCAGTTAAGTTTCACGGATAATTAGGCCCTAAAGCAGTGTGCTATAGCAAAGAAGGCATTTTAAAAGAATAAAAAATTTGGATTCATCACATACCCAGTGTCACAGTGATAGGCCAGCAACAAGTGAGAGCACAACATGCAACAGACTCTTGTGGGACTACTATCAAGAGATGCTTATGCTGCAGATCCTTGAACTCACATGGAAGAACTTTGTGGAGAGAGGGGAAGTGTCAAGTAGTCTGTGTGCAGGAGAAAAAAAGTAATCTAACCACCCAAATGAGTTAGTTTTGTACTCTTACTGTACCTGCAGGGATACAAACAGTGACCAGAAGCCTTCCGGACGCTGTTAGTGGTTTCAAGAAATACGCAGCAGATCAGCTGTTAACATTTAATTTTATTTATAAAAAAATTGTATAACGTATTAAATACAAACATTTGGAAAAAGCAATCAAGGCTTCGCGAAGATGCCCAGGAAGACAGAGAATCAAGAAGCTTACCAGGTTGAGAGTTCTTAGACCAGCTGAATTAATTACTGTAATTTTTCACTGACTTCTTTACAGGCAGTGGCCACTACAGCAACCAGTGTCCTTCTTAAAAAGCAGAGATATGATTTGCCAAATCTTCAGACTCAACCACAAAAAGTAAGGAAGCAACTCTTTCCAGGTTAAAAATCAGGGTAATAAATACTAATGCATTTAACCTGTTACCTACATCCTATAACACTAAACATTTGCTTGTAATCACACGTGGATATCAAGTTTAGCCCCCCAAAAATCACTTTTACATTTAAAACCTGGATATTCAATAAGGTGTTATAAACTTTATATATTTTCCAGTGAACAATAAAATGAGGACAGTGTTTTGAAGTACATAAACAAAACAATGTATCATCTACACGACAAAGGCCAACTACTACGAGATGGATGGGGTCTAGTCATGTTCCAGATAGCTGGAAATGTCCTACAAACTGCCACTGAAAGACTAGTTGGAAGACAAATCATGTCATGTTCTCAGTTTGTGTTAGCTCCTCTCCCTTTCTAACAGGCCAAGGTGGGAACTGTAGCTACTCTCCTTTCTGCACCTTGTGCTAATAAAGGTGTGAACTATCATTTTGCTCCACATGGACAAACCAGATTCAAATTTTCTTAGACTGCTCTTGCTCTTTTACCACTCTTAAATGCAGTATGCAGTACATAAACCACTAAATAGTGAGCAAGAGAGTACAAAAAAGGCCTCTTCTGTCTTTTGAAAAGAGAGGAGCGCTTCCACTTACTGACAATATGGCACTCCCTCCATCCTCCTTCTTTACCCTGTATCGGCTTTCAAGCTGCAGCATAATATACACAGATGTGGCTATATGGCCCTAAAGCCAAATTCAGCTCTAAAAAAATTCTGTTTGTGAGACTGATTCTTTGGGAATAACCAAGCTATTTTAAAAAATCTGGTGCAGAATAATCAGACACACAAACATTAACAGATGTCTCCCATTCTACCTTGCATTTGTCGCAACAGAAAAAAACAATTGCCAACCTACCAGCACTCACAAAGCTTACTACTGCAAGGACAAGAGTGCCACAAGCGTTATGGAATACACAGTGTTGTCAGTCAGCTACAGAATGGACTGACTAGATACCTGCAAGAGCACAAGCAGAATGCTTCTGGCAAAGCTGCCCTCTGGGGACAGGCTGCAGTTGCACTACATATCCTATTATGAGTAGAGGGTTGAACAAATGGACTAGAATCATCAACACATGTCAGACCCTGTTACCGAGCAAAGTCATTTCCAATTACTACATCAGCCCTCAGAGCACAGAGGTGACTGCCAACATGGGCACTGCTGTGCTGGAATTCCTGGACAGCCAATTATTTGGAGATCAACATCTTCAAGAGCAAAAGGCTACTCTTACCAAGCAAACACAGAGCAGTTGCTGGATATACTAAGTAGGTAATCATTCATTTAGCTACAAGCTTGAAAACAAAGTCAATTCCAGCACCTTTCCAAATGTAATAGCATCTCTTACTGCAACACAGACATGATTATCCTGCTCTTGTGTTCAGTACACTTAGAGCAGTTAGTGCAATGAAAACCCTGATGCAGGCCTTGGACTCACATGAAACAAATGGTCAGGTCAGTTCCATCCCATTCCCTTTTTTTTCCTTTTTGACAACTATTGATATGCAAGATGCATATTTCATAAGCCATAACATTTTTTGGAACATACTTGGCAACAGATACTGAACAGCCAGAGTTTATTTGACCCCAACAGCCTTGCTCCCACCCAAAGAATTTACTGCCACGCAAAGCAAGCAGGAAATCACATGAAGACTAATCTTGTGAAGGGATGGGAGGTCAAAATATGAACAATTTGAAAGAGACAACAGTCTATTTAGCGTGCCAACTGCTTCTTGCTCAGTGCATAGGTTTTAGCATGATATACACCACATTTAAACAAATGAGGGGTTTGGTTTTGTTTTTCTATCCTGGCTGTTTGGGAAGTACTTTTTTATTTTCTGAAATCTTCAAAAAAAAAAATAGGCCTTCCAACCTCTGAGTCAAAGACAAGAAATCACTGTCTTGGCATCAGTGCTACCCCCCCATTACACCATCAGAAGTCAATATGCTGTCCAGCATCCCTGGAGACATGTTTGAAATTACAGTCTTAGAATACACTTGAGTCAGGCAATGGCTCTATTCCAGAAACACACAATGTTGCCAAGAGCAGAGCATGGCCCCTAGTTTTAACCTAGTTTAACACATATTTTACAAATGCATTCCTCAAATCTGATCACAGCAAAATATATAGTGGTGTTAACATGGCAGAAAGTTGAATTCAAACAACTCAATTTTTAAACCAGTCAGAAATATGGGCAGTTTTGAAAGAAAACAGTGAACTCCTCAAATACAGACATTTGTGGAATATACATGCACACTCACACTCTCGCACACACACGCACCCACTTACTTCACTCAGTGTCAGATTAAGATTACACAAGGCAATTTTCAAGGTTGCATTTACAACCACAATGACAAGAACAGCATTTTTGAGGTAGCTGAAGTCAAAGAGCAAACCACAGCACAAGCAAAGAAAAACAGGTGCTCGTGCTCACACCGAGCCCACTCTTTGGAGACACGTTATCATGTGCGCAGGGGCGTGTGTTGAAGAGGCACGTGTTCCACAGGGAATGAAGTTCAGCAGCACTGGAGACCAGATAAACTATTCTCCAGAGAAGCTTATGTTGGGAGACAAGATGCTCAATCAAGGGACTACGGCTTAAATCACTGCACATCAGCTGAGCTGTGGTAAGTCTTGGTGCTCTTAAGTCTGTGGCAGTTCTACCAACAACTCTGTCTCACGTGCATTGAAGCAAGTACAACTGTGGCAGTTGAAGACGTTATTAGTCAGAGCTGTCTGTCCCACTTCTCTCCTAGATGCTACTGTTGGTAGAAAGGTACATGTACCCATATCTCACCTACTCCAGTTTGCAGCCTAGCATTCAAGTTCAAGCCCACCTCCACAGTATTACTTGTCAATGGACTGTGAACTGGAACAGCAGAGACAGACTTGAGTTGTCCAGGTGCAATAATATCTTTGCCACATTAATAGTGCAGAGACATCAAACTGTCACAGCCTGAATCACCAGACTTCATCTCTCAGAGCCCTTTGCTACCCTCCAACGAAAGGAGTTGAGCTAACCTCACAGCAAATGCCAGGCAATGTGGGCCTAAGGCGATAGATACTAGCTGTGGCTGGCTGACTGGATCAGCCACAGTAACTGGATCATGTCCCTGGGCATACAGAGAGCTTGATCCTGCCCATATTACAAAACTGTGTGAAACACACTCATACACACACACATAATGCAATATTTTCATCAAGAAGCTTTCAACAAATCAGTTGTTTGCAGGATTACTGCTGAGAGTCCTGAAGATGGGATGGAAATTATGGCAAGATGTTTTTCAAAGGTAGAAAGAAAAGAAAATCAACCCGCTACAATTAGGTCTCTGTTGTGTAGTTACTGTATGAGAGAGACTGCACAGATGAGAAGTTGTTATTCCACTGTCTTCCTCCAGTACTCTGCTGCAACTCTGCCTGCTCTTTATATTTAGTCAGAAGATTTTTGGCTTCTTGCAGATCCTGAGAAGAGTTTTCCCCATATTCTTCTTTCAGCCACTGCCTGAACTGCAGAAATTGAACATACATATACAATATGATGAGACAGTAACATGAGACTGAAGAAGCAATACTCTCTCCTGTCCTACAGAATTGACAGTCTTTAAGAACACAAGTAGTTTAAAGAAAAACTCTCCAAATACTGCATGTCCCTCAACAACACCACAGAATACTTTGGCATAGGAACACACATTTGAAATTACTGAGATCCCTTATATCCCCTAAAAATGATACACATCCACAACAGCTTGGCTGACTGGAGAAATACAGAGTAAGGAACACCTACTAGGCAAGGACGTATGGATTTAAAAGCACCCTCCTCCTGTTGCATACACAATCAGATGAATTAGCATGGAAGCTAATACAGGAGCTTTAAAAGCTATAGAATAGTACTCTATATTACTGCCATAAATGACTGAATGTGGTTCATGGTAACAGAAGTACCAGGTCCAGTTGAAGGTCAGCCCAGCTCTGTATCCTGGTACAAGCAGTCAGATTTAAATACTGAAGAAAGAATCAGGTGATGGCAGGGCAATAATGCTGTGACCCTTTTTCCTAACCATTTCCTCAGCTTCCAGCAATTTTCAGCTCAGGTACTTTCAGAGGCTGAGGCACTATTCTCCGTGTTTGACAGCAACAAATGAATTTTTCTGCCATAAGATTACTTTTTGAATCCACAAATTTTTTAACGTAAGGTATCTGGATGCCAACAAGCTCTGTAAGTACATATTGTGTAAAACCCCCTCCCCTTTTCCTTGACTGGGACCTGCCAATTGGTAACTCCATCTCACATTAGAGAGAAGAGTGGAAACCAAACCTGTTCACTTTCTCTATTCCACTCAACTTTTTAGGCATTTATCACATCCTCCTCTGTATTTTTTTTGCCAGTTGATGAATTTTAGTCCACTAACAATCTCGTTGCTCTTTTCTGCAGAAGCAGCAAGTAGACAGAGACCCCAACCAGGTGGTTCCAGTGGGGACAGTATTAATTTTTGAAGCCTTAGCTTTCATAGCCTTGTTCTGTTTGGGGCTTATGGACAGCTTTATCCATAGAGATAATTTACACTGGGTGACAAGAACTCAGTATAGTTACTCCCTCCCATTTCTAAATGATCATAATGTCCTGAGTCAAATCTGAAGCCTCAGACTACCACATGGAAGTTTGGAATTGGTCCAAACCATGTTGCAACCTTAGTGACTGAATCCCTTCCTGTAAGACTGATATCTAGAGGACCCCATTCCAGAAACCTCACCGGATACCACCCTGTAGTGTCACAGCAAAACACCCATGCTAGTGAAATCAGAAAAAAGTTCACACCCATGGCAGATGGCATTATTCCACTGAAATCAGGTATGTAAACAGACACCTGCTAAGGATGTGGTTGCTGTTAAGAGACAGTAGGAAACTACAGCCCAGCCAGTGACTACAGGTGGATATTGCTTTTTGCAATCTACTGCCTCCCCCTCAGTAAAAAAAGGCAGAATGTGTCGTCCATGGTGGATGAAAAAAAACACACCAACAAACCAGAAGAGACGTTACTGTCTTTATCAGGCTATTTGCATATAGCCTTAATTGTCATTGCTGTTAGCCCAGACCAATTAGAGCAGAAATGACTGTAAGGGAGGAAGGAGACAAGCCTGGAAAGTCCCCTCTGACTTCTGTCTCTTAAAAATCAGTTACTTTACCATTTACACCAGTCCCAAACGATCCAGGAAACATTCAGTTAAATATTAACAAAAACACACGAATATTTACAGTTGCAACTGCATCATGCAAAACAAATGGTAATTTCTAAACTCTGAGCTCTCTGCAGCAGAATGACAGGCATGGAATTAAAAATGAAAACAACATCCTTTGCTCATGTATTTTGCCTTCCGATTTTGGTTTGCCTCTGTTGTTGATTTTTAATTAGCGTGATAGGCATAAAAGTCCAGCGAACAGCAACATGCTGAGCAACGGAAAATAGAGGACGGCAGAGTAGATTCTTAACATAAGTGGAAGTTACAGATCACCCACAGGGAGCAGGTCTTTTGCGTGGGATGTGCTTTTTAAGGGTAAGAAACTAGTCTTTGTATTATGAAAACCACTCTGTCTCATCGGACTCTGTCACTCATTCTTACTGTTCCCTCAATTCCCCTAGTCCTACAAAGCCTTCCAAGGGTAAGAAAAGAAAACAAACAAAGGGTCATGTTTGAGACTGTTCTACACATCAGAAAATTTATGAAGTCCCAGCCACAGAAGTTAAGAAGAACATGACAAGTGCATCATAATGAAAACCTAGTTTAACTCCTAGATAGCAAAGATTTCTGATTATGATTTCTTTCCTGCTTGCTATTCCAAATGAATTTGTTGAGGGGAAACCCACTATTTCCATGCAGCTGGCACTTACAGGCTAGTTATTCTGCTGCGTTCTGAGCAATTCATTTTTACCTCTCTGAAGGTGTCAGTCATGTATTGTCTTAGCACACATGCAGCAATCACTGCATTGAGAGCACAGCTGGGCAGGAGGTGTTTAGATGTTGTGCTTCATCTCTTCTCTCATCTACAATTCCCTGACACCTTCAGTTCTACCTGCACCCCCCCTGTGGAGCAGGCTTGGCCATGAAGCCACTCTCTCAAAGCAAAAACAGGGAGTCAGATAAGCCACCCAGACCACAAAATAATGGGAAGTAGCCTAGGATCTGACTTGGGGTTGTGTTTCACAGCTCATTTGTTTGCAGTTCATTTACCTGATCAACATCATGTTTTTCAAAGTCCTGTAGCTGCCTCTGGAAGCCCATGTTAGGATTGGCACATGATCTTGCTGCGCGAACAACCGACAGTGCATCTTCCCAGCCAAAGTCTGTGATGGTCATGATGTAGGCAACCACTAATGTCACACTCCTGGAGACACCTGCAAGGCTGCATGAAAAAGATGGCGTAATAAATTGAAGTAGTGCTGTACTTCATCTATCACAGTTAAAAACATCACTTCCCAACATCACAGCAGACTGCTGTGCTGCTTGCCATAAGGAAGAAATATTGCAATGTTTGACTTAAAGGGTTTTGGTGATGCTTTTTAAAATGTATCAGAACAAATTATGACAAGATCAAGAATGGGGGTTCTGAATAGTAACTTGTATGACACTGCAAAGGAAGAAATAAGTATGAAGTCTTCTTTAAAACAGGGGACAGTGCACAGTTCCAAGTTAATTTGGTTTTCGGTAATCTAGAAGTCAGTCACCCACTTTCTTCTGCTTATATAGATCAGAGCAGCAAAGTAAGACTGTTCCCTCTTCCTTACAAACAAAGGCTTCCATTTCATTGGGCTGAAATGAACTTTAACTGAACTGCTGAAGTACATGTCTGGTTGCTCGAGTTCTTTTCCTCTTTCTGCTAGCCATGCAGTGTGCAACTTCAACTCTCAGGATTCCAGTTTCACCAGATGAAACACTGGGATAAAGTAATAAACGTTCACTATGAATAGTCTGATAGTGCTGGACAAAAAATTCCCAACTATTACTATTGTAAGTATAAAGAATATGTTTGAGTTACATCTGTACCAGACTCTTTCACTTGACATTTAAAGAATTGTTTATGCTTTTGAAATGCTTCACAAATTTAAATATGTGGTTTTTAAAACTCTAACAGAATTCAGGTTAATTATCCCTGTTTTACATACATGGACACTGACCAAATGACTCATGCACAGCCCTATCATGAGTCTGTAGCAAACTGGGGGTTTATGCTCAGGATCTGTGTATAAGTCCAGTGTTCATATCACAAGATGACTCTGATTCCAGATACAGACTCAGATATGTCACTTGGACATACAGCATAAAGACTACAACCAGTAGCAGAGAGCAAGAAAAAAAACAGGGCGGGATTTCCTTTTCTACTTTCTACTGTCCCAGGAGCATCTCTCCAATGAGAGACTTGCCATTAACAAATGCAATATCTGAATGCTTCAGCAGTGTAAAGGTTAAAAGAAAAAAAAAAAAAAAAAAAGGCAATTTCTGTTCAGAGGAATTTCTTTTTAACAATTCGGAAGTCAGCAAAATAGCTGTTACAGAAACTAAATTGGAATTATGGAAATCACATTTAGAAACAATGATTAAAATAACGAGAAATAAATAGTATGTCTCTAGTCAATGCGTAAGTCAAATCAATCCTACAACAAGGTTTGATGAGAAGCTCAAGAACAATTTCTTGGGCTCCTTTTATCTCCAGGCAGCTGCCCACCCCAGTGACTCAAAAGTCCTAGCATGAGGCTTTAACAGCATTTGTAAATCTTCTAGGCCACTTCAAATAAAGGGGGCTTCTCTGTCCAAAAGGATTTTGCTATAAAATGGAGATGAACACTAACTAGTTAAAATGATGAACATCCAAATTAAGGTAAAGAAACCCTTAAGAAGTGGTATACGTACCAATGAACTAGGCAGCCTTCACCTCTAAGCCGGCACTCATGAATAAATTTGATGCTCTCTCTGAAATGCCTTGCCCTGAAAACAGAAGCAAAATAAAGAAAGTGCTCTATTTAGTAAAATCACTACTTAGAAAGAGAGAAATGTATCCGAAAGCTCACTGAATGCTGTTTCTAGAATTTTGAACTGAATACAGGTCTTACAAAGTAAAAGTTAGTGTCTGCAAATGAAACTCAAAACTCACTGGTACAGTTACTCTCCACTGTATCTGAAGAAACTGGTAATCTTAGGCAATATGATGTGATAAACACTAATGCTTTATTCTGATGACTGTCAGGTCTGTATTTCAGAGTTTTACTCCTCCTTAAAACGAGTAACTTGATGTTGCATGTCTTTACAAATGCCAAGTGCAAGGTCCTACACCTGGGTCAGAGCAATACCAGGCACAGCTACAGGCTGGGCAGAGAAGAGATTCAGAGCAGCCCTGCGGAGGAGGACTTGGGGGTGTTGGTCAATGAGAAAATGAACATGAGCCAGCTTCAGTGTGCGCTTGCAGCCCAGAAAGCCAACCGTATCCTGGGCTGCATCAAAAGGAGCGTGACCAGCAGGTCGAAGGAGGTGATCCTGCCCCTTTATTCTGCTCTTGTGATACCTCACTTGGAGTATTGTGTGCAGTTCTGGTGTCCTCAACATAAAAAGGACATGGAACTGTTGGAACAAGTCCAGAGAAGGGCCACGAGGATGATCAGGGGACTGGAGCACCTCCCATATGAAGATCGGCTGAGAGAAAGTTGGGGCTGTTCAGCCTGGAGAAGAGAAGGCTGCGTGGAGACCTCATAGCAGCCTTCTAGTATCTGAAGGGGGCACATAGGGATGCTGGGGATGGACTCTTCATTAGGGACTGTAGTGACAGAACAAGGGGTAATGGGTTAAAACTTAAACAGGGGAAGTTTAGATTGGATATAAGGAAGTAGTTCTTTACTGTAAGGGTAGTGAGGCACTAGAATAGGTTGCCCAGGGAAGTTGTGAATGCTCCATCCCTGACAGTGCTCAAGGCCAGGTTGGACAGAGCCTTGGGTGACAAGGTTTAGTGTGAGGTGTCCCTGCCCATGGCAGGGGAGTTGAAACTAGATGGTCTTAAGGTCCTTTCCAACCGTAACAATTCTATGATTCTGTGAACGCTCAGGTGTCAGATTAAACTCAGCATGACTACATGAACAGTTCTCAAGGTATACTCTCTCCCAAAGAGGCACTCACTACCCAAACTTACGCTTAACTTTGACTTCACCTTCTCCTTCAAACCATGTACTAGGACACATCTAAATGTTACTACTTTCTTCTTTGCAACATGAAATCTCTCCCTTTTGTCCTTGCTATGAAAAACTACTCAATTCAAGCCCTGTCTTCCTCATCTTCTTCCAGTCTTAGCACCTCAGACTGCAGTACCCCTCTGCCTGCCCTTACTCAGGGTGTCAGCCAACCCCTGCCTATAGCCTACCTATTTTTTTTAAGCAGCTGAGGAGGGAATGTGGAGAAGCTAAAGACTCAGTTTATAAACCTTAAGGTTTTTACTCTTATTATCCTTTACTTATTATGCCTCTTCATTTTTAGTGGGGCAACTCCGAGGGAAAGGAAGTGGGCAGCTGTTATTACCTCAGTAAATCTGAAGCACCACCTCTTAGCAACCCAGTCCCCATTTGTTTGCCCTGCCTCTGGCTTTCAGACTGCAAAGCCTTTGGGGCAGCCTGCAATTACTCACAGGTACAAGCAGCACCTCCTGTTCAAAAGAGCTGGTGTTCACTGTAGTCTTTGAGTGCTCCTGCAATTTAAGCTTGCAAACAGTAGTAATGTGTGCGACACAGAGGAAAGAGCTTCTTAAGGGGTAATCAATACCAGGCTTACGGGCAAAAATGAACCTGAAAGCACACTGCACTCAACACCCATGAAACACAACGTCCTGTATTCAAGATGTTTCCCCTCTCAGGGTGAATATTATACCACAAGAGTAAAAGAAAAAAAAACCTCAGCCCAGCACCAGTAGCCACATAAAAATCAGGAATACCCACATAAAGGGAAGCTTCCCTTCTTGCCCAACAGTGCAGCTGCTGATACTATAAAAACTCAAGACTTGAAGGAGGACAACAGTGATGCAACAGAGTGACAGTGCCTGTGGAACTTGCAAAGGCAATAACATCTAAGTTTGAACATCCAAAAAAGAAGGATCCCAAAGGCCAGGACTCTCTCTCCAAAGCAGCTCTTACATCACTAGATACAATATGGAAAATACAGTTGGAAAAGACCTAAGTCAATTTTTTGGAAAACCTCACGGCACAGTGAAATCCCAAGCTTTCGGACAACTTGTCAACTCAGAATTTTGTTGTTCAAGAAACCATCTGAGCACGTAAGACAGACTAATCTGCATTTCTACTCAGACAGCCAATCCACACATTTTCAGTGGCTAAGTTCTAACAAATCATGGCACTCAGATCTGTGAGAGGGGCACAAGAAGCTTCACATAAACTCAGAGAACAAACAACACATTGGGCTGTGTGTCCAAGAGGCGTTGCTATTGCACAATGAAGGAGCTCTTATCTAAGATTGAATGGATTCAGTCAGATGAAACTTGGCTAGGGACAACATCCTACTCTTCCCATGCACCCTTCCTTTCTCTTTCTAGAAAATCTGGCCAACAGCGTAGCTCCAAGCACCAGTGAATTCACTTCTATAGTCTAGCACAAGTTTTGGTTAAACCCTTCAATGCTCTGGTTTGAAAAATACCTGCAAATGAGCATAACACCTTTGCAAGGTACTAAATATAGCTAGTAGTAAACTCCATTCACTCAGCTTTATTCACCTTCCTTACTGGTGAAACACTGCCAAGCGTGTTTCGGGTATTCATGAAAAAGAGAAGAGAAATAGCCAAGCTCAGAATTAGTGCTGCTCTGCAGAACCACAGCCCCTCCTCACTTTGAGTCAGAGAGTAAGAGACACATATTCCTCCACACCCCTATGGTATCAGGGTCCCTGCTGCCTCCAGGAGACACAGTTACCTAAACTAATTTTCACAGTTATGGTACAAACCATATTTACACGAAAACTAAGATTAAGGACCAGTCATCTGCGTGGCAAGTGCCAGACACAAAGAAGAATGGCGTCTTACACTAACCGCAAAACAGTTGATTATTATCTGTAACAGGAAAGCACTTGACAAATGTGTTGATTTGCAGCCTATTTGTTGGACTGCACAGTTACTTCAAGACAATTTATTACATGATATCTTGCTTTTGCATCTCCAGGCTTAAAGCTGGGTCCTGAACAGCATCATCTTCACAGTGGGAAAATACCACAGGAAGAACCACCAGTGGAGTCCCCCTACCAGCACATTGTAAAAGTTACCTAACTTACACATTAGCAAGCTGGATAATCCAAAACTAGGCTGAGGGCAGCTATGAGACCAGATATGCATGTTCATTTGTTGCTAATCAGACTTCTATGAATGTTATACAGGTTAAAAAGAAAGCATCCAAATCAGATAGGAAGAAGCATCTTTCCTTTAGCGATGGTTTAGTGTGAGGTGTCCCTGCCCATAGCAGGGGGGTTGGAGCTAGATGATCTCAAGGTCCTTTCCAACCCTAACTATTCTGTGATTCTATGTAAATGCAACAAAGATCCACCTAAATTTTTCTTCATAGGTCATCTGGCTTCTATATTATCACCACTAACAGCCTGACCATCGGAAGTTAGTCCTTTAGAAATATGTAGCCTAAGACAATTAGCTGGAACAGGGCAGGAAGGGAAGATTTCATTTCTATAGAATTAATGTTTTAGCAACAGGTTCTAATAGGAGCTGACATATCTGGGAAAGTCAAAGGTCCAAAGTAAATGTCTCACAGTCCAGGGAAAACACTCATTTAATGCATAGGAAGCACCTGGAGTCTCAAAAACAACTGCTTGATTCCTAGCCTTGGTAGCAGCAGAACATGCAAGTAGAAGCAAGACACTGGAGACACTTTAGTGAACCACATGTTAACAGGGGAATCCCTGCTGTATTTCCCTGGCAATTCACGCCTCTGAGGAAGGGAACTCCACTAAACAAACTTACTAGGAGTAAATGTGCATTACACATATAAGAAACCAGAAGTTTCCATCACAAAAATGAGCTGCAGTGAATTAAGAGCTCACAATCCCAAAATTCAGCAGGTAAAGGCTTCATGCTGGACCTTATCAACCTGCCAGCACCTGCAAAGTAGCAGCAAAGCATCTGACAAACTTGCTGTTGGGAGAGCCAGTGTCATGGTTTAAGTCCAGCTGGTAACTCAGAGTAAGCCAGCAATGTGTATCTGGTCAGTTGTGCCTGTGAACCATTGCTGAGAAAACACATGGACCTTTTTCCTTCCTTTTTTCCCCTAACACCATCAGAATCCCTCTTTCAAAGAAGAGGGTAGATTCACAAAGATATTGCAGAGGGACCAATTCCCTTTTCTGTTCCTCAGCTATCCCTCCCTCCACAGGGGAGTACAGTTAATTGCTCCCAAATAAGATTGTGTCAATTCTGTTCATTCTGAACAAAGACTACTTCCTCTTGCTTTCAGAAGACTGCATGTGCAAAGCAAGCAACATTGCTATTTGTGAGCACTGTGATTTGGTTTTACTTGAAGATCTGAACTGTGCAAAGCAAAAAAGAAAAATCGGTTACTCATCAAGTTTTATTTTAAGTGATAAAAATGTATCAGTATTAGAAGTAATGACGTTTGCTTGCAACCACCTGATACTAAAGCAAGTATTTTAGATGCCTGCAGCATAACAGAAACAACACTCATGCAAATATTGTATCTTCTTACTGAAGCTTTAAGAGCTTTGGTACTGTGCCAGACAGCTCAAGCGCTGGAGGTGGTTTTTTCAATATAGCTCCTTGATATTTAACAGGGAGGGAAGGGCTGAATTGTACACTGATTAATGCTCATCACAAATGCCATTCTATTTCCATTCCCAACTGATCCAGATCTCTGTTAACAAAGGGAACAGATTTTCAAAACATTTTCAGAAATGCTACAGACGACAGAGTACCAGCAGACAATGAGAGTATTTCCCTCTAATCTCATATTCTTTTTCCTTCCCAAAATAATCTTTTACATTTATTTTTATTTAAAGTATGTCCAGTTGTCCATGACAATGGCAGTTGGTCATCTGCCTTCTCATTACAGACCTGTCTCGAAATTCAGGGGTTTGGAGTGTTGTTTTGTTATGGGTTGGAAGTGTGAGTGTGTGTTTTGGTTTGTTTTGTTGTTTGGTTGGTCTTTTTTTTCCTTTCATGACAGAAATGCACAATGAAAAGGAAAATCACCACACATGCAATGCCACGCTGGAATCTTTCTAGGGTATGATACACACATACTCTAAAAATACCCCCTGAAAGCATAAGCCGGAATATTGGTGTGATGTGAGAAAAAAGCAGTGCTCCATTTCCTTCCGTACCTCCCAGGCCTCTTTCAAATACTTGTTTCTCTACAAAACTTGGTAGCAGGAAGTGGCTGAAACCCCCCTCACCTCTCCCCAACATAAACAGTGAACTCTAGAAGAAAGAGCTGGTCACCATCCAAGTTCGCTTACAAAACCTGTTTTGATTTCTCTCTGGAATCAAAACTTGCTATGCTCAATGGTTTAAAACATTAAAACCAAGGATAAGTCCATGAGTGTTTCATGAATGTTAGCAGAGGTGCGAGAGAAAGGCTGGGACACCCTAGTTTCAGTACATATATCCTTCAAGGCAAGAGGCACTGCAGGGCAGAAACTCTCTATGGTGCCAGCTGGCTACCAAAAGCAGCACGGCCTTCTGAGGTAGGTTCAAAAAGTCCAGAGCAGATAGTTGCAGGGGTAGTTAGCACACTGGGCTCTATATTGAAGGCTGCTTCAACCCTTGAAGGTTTCATACCTCCTTCAAATATTTTCTTTATGTTAATGGCTGGAGGTAGCACAAACAAAGAACAGCCAAGCAAAAGGATTTACAAAAACAATGGCTAGAATAAACTGAGACTAAATCAGGAACAGACTCACTAAGAAATTCCTGAAGTTTGAGGCCAAAAACAAAGAGTGTTGACAAACTGATCCTCCTACAAACCCTGACACAAAAAAAGCAGGGTCTGAACCAATGTGGCTGGGATAAAGTGGTACTCTGTTTTCTTAATGGATTAAAAACCTCATTTGTCTATACTTGTGAGAGATCAGAATGAGATCTTTTAGGTCATTGTAAAACGGGCATCACCAGTACTGAGGGATTTCTGGGGTTCTGCAATTTATTTTTAAAGAAAACTTACAAGTTCTGTGAGGGTGAGTCAGCAGCAGGAATGCAGAGGTACTTCATTCCCTGTGTAAAGAAGCAAAAAAGAATGAGAAGAAAACATCCACGTTACATACATTTATCTACCACTGTGCAAGTCCTGCTCTACACTGGTGCGGTTTTATTGCCTTTGAGGAAGGCATACCATTATTCAGACAAGCAGACATCATCTCTATGCAGCCAAATTTTAGTTTTAAAACTCTTTTCACATCTGCTTTGTTGCTAAGACACCAGCACATAGCTTAGTCATGCTTATCCCAACGCCCAATAATAGAGCTTCTTAAAACAGAAGCATCTTTAGTAAAGAGGCATAAACCTCTTTTTTATAATCTCATTCTTCTTACATTTCTAGCAAAACTAAATTGCACCTTCTCCTGCCCTTCATTTTCTCTGAACAGATGCTACAACCTCAAATTGTGATAACCAATTTCTTCTGATCCCATGAAGTCATTTTTCTCTACCTCATTGATAAACCAAACAAAATGCATTCTGGAGAAGAAACATGTCTGTGGCATGGGTTTTGTATTTTGTTTTTGGGAAACTTCAAGCAGGACAACTGTAAAACTCATACTTTTCTTCCACAAACTTAGCCTTAGTTTCTTAGTCCGCTATCATGAAAAGTTACAAGATCAAGTAGGGAAGTCAGATAACCATTTCTGATGCATTAAAAATGTTACTGGTTATAGTTAAAACAACACTATAATCATGCACTACTGTTTTGCATTGTCAACACTTGTTTTAACTGTCATTTTATTTTAAAGCTTGTTTTACCCCATAACTGTTAAGAAAAAGAACACTTCTGAAAGTATATTTAGCTAGCTTCTTAAACAGGACTTCCAAGAATACAGGTTGCAGCTCAGACACACACACAAAAAAATCATTCACTGGGAGTCTTTTGACTTGTTGCAAATGCAGTATGAATTTTTCAGATTTACTTGTAAAGATCAGGATTCATAGCAAAATATCCACCATAAAATGCACCTGAGTTTATCTTTCTGTAACAATGTAAACCCCTGTAATAAGCCTGCATGTTCAACACACAGGGAAAGTTATACATTTACCTGTAAGAGATCCTTTGCCAACAAGGTGGAACACAACATGCATCTATACCTGGCATTTCGTTTGCCAGCTGAGGTGAGGACAATTTCACTGCTCAACTGTTAAGGCATCTTCCCCAACACCACCTTTGCTGGCTCAGAAACCTCCGTTTCCTCTACACACACTCTGTTACTTCACTTGCCATCTCACACCAAAGAGCAATCCCTTTTCTAAGAGGTCCATATCCCTCGCATCATGATACACCATCACGCTAATCCTCTGCAAGATGCATGAACTTCACCACTGTGTCAGACAGGACATGGTGAAACCTCACCCCCATGACACTACACATGGTAGAGCCATTTTCTCAACAAAGCAGAACCCCTTCAGCCAGCATCTTCTCCACAGCCACACAGACCTGAGAGCCTGCCCTGTCCTCACCAGGCTTTGCCAGACTCTCTCACTCTGACAGGCCATCCCCAGCATGCCACAATGGGAGGAGAGTTACTTGTCTGTGGCCTTCTGGTCTGGGGGAGGCAGAGTCAGAGGGGAACACTCTGCAGACAGTGCTAAGCATGGAGATGGAGACACGGCAATGCCTGACAACAGAGAAGGCACCATCAGGCCAACACCAAGGCAGTGACAACAACTGGCATTTTGCATGAGAGCTGCATGGCAAAATACAGCTGAGGGGAGAGAGATTAAGAACAAAGTCAGTTTGTAAACCAAAGCAGCCTGCTGCTGGAGGCAATGACATCAACAAGTACAGTCCCTCCTGCCTTGCATCAGAAGGGATGCTTGCTGTGGGAAACCAGGATGGCTCCACAACCATAAGCTGACCCACAGCAGCTCACACAGATACATTCATTTCAAAAGACAATGCAGCTGAACCAAAGATGATAATTATATTGAGACAGATGAATAATGTTAATAAGCCTTTTGTATGACACATCTGAGAGGTCTGCCTTGGACATTAGTATCACTTCAAGTCACTCCAGTAGAATGAGAGCCTGAACGTAAATTTACATGCTATTCTTTCCCACACACCTCTAGACAACGCCGTGTCACTAACTGCACCACCAAGGCCAGAAACAGGAAGATAATTGAAGGTAGGAGATGGGTTAACTCCAGAGCACACCATATGCCAGAAGGTTCTCTCCTCCAGCATGCACTGAAGCAAGTTGTTCCACAGATTTCAGAAGCTGTGGCACATGCTGAGTGCTTTTCACAAGCTGAGTGCAGAGGGGCTTTCAGATCATGCTCACTTTAAAAGCAGAAGTAGCACCAGCACAAGTTTAAGACCCACAGTGTTCTTTTTTTGTCATGGCTGACTAGTTCCCACTACCGCAAGCAAGCATGAAACTAGCCTATGAGAGACCGCACATGGTACTGAATGGCTCATCCAGAGCCTGATCCTGGAAGGCTTCAGCACCTACAACTTCCAGTGAAGCCCACGCCACACTTTTCCTTACTTTGTCCACAGATGTTCAGCATCAAGCTATTAGCTTTACTAATATAGCTTTGGAGACAGGGAAAGGTTAAAGTTACTGGAATTTGGTATTTTGACAAACGCATGTCACTTGCATGGTGTTTTTGGAAAGCTGTGGTGATGGACTCCTCCCTATGAGGAAATAATCACACACTCAACTCAGAAATAGTTATAGGTGGGATTTCAAAAGTACAGTGCAGTGACCTAACCTGACTCCCACAAAAATCAACAGCGAAACTTTCAGTGACTTTGACCCAAAAACACTTTGGCCAGAGTTGGTAACTCCTGAGGATCCCACCCTACCATCAAGTTTTGCTTCTCTTGGTTGAAGTAATAATAACAGAATCAAATAGCATTCATTAAAACTGCATACCTGAAATACAACGGCACAAGATTGAGCAGGTATTCATAAATGAGACTTGGGATTTTCTGTGTAGACGTTCATATGTTGATTACTGGAATTAGCTTTTCCTCACATACAATGGATAGACTTTATTTTTCAAACATATTGGCAATAGGAAGACATGTAATCACTGAACCCTACTGTCTGTGCCTGCTGTTTTGATTTGTTTTGTTGGGTTTTGGGTTTGTTTTTTTTAAACGACCCAGGATCATAATGTTATTTGTATATTTGTGCCCCAAGACACTGTTGTCCTTCCTGTGCACATACACTGCACATAACATCTAAGAACTGTCCCAAAGGGACCTTTCAAAGCAGAAGAGTTTAAGCCAACCAAACAAGTAAATACCTACAACATTTTAGATGGGGTAATAGCATGTAAGAGAGACATGTCACTTTTTTATTACCTAGCACTTTTGTTTGCCATTCTGAAACTGCAAAGTGTAAGATGTAAGACTGCAATGATCATTGAAACAGCAACTAAAACAGAGTAAGCCAAAGCAAGAGATTGTTGAAGAGCCAAGCAGACCAGCTCCTGCTGAAAATTTCAACAGGCCTCAATTCAGTACCCAGTCTGCAGTTTCCTTAAACTTGAATCAGGTTGCAGATGCAGTATCCCAAGTTGAACCCAAATAGCATATTAGGAACGCTGGGAAAATAGAAATTACATGTCAATCATACCGAAGTCTTTATTTATTTATTTTTAAATTAACTCTATTTTGTTCCCTAGTAATGACAATTCACTGAAAATTATTCAGTGGAGGAAGGACAGAACAACTCAAAACAGCCATTGTACCACTTTACCTACACACACTAAATTAGGTGCTACAGAATAGCTGCTTATCCCAAAATGTGATATTTGTTCAAAGCAAAAAGCTAGAAATTATAAAAACTGAGGAAATAAGAAATACTAATTTTAAATCCTACATGAACTAATACACCCACTTTATTTACTGAATACTGCTGCCAATATGCTGTTATTTGAACATTTCTTCAGCTGACAGTTGTGTCAGTCCTGTCTTACCTCTCCAAACAAGTTTTTCTCCAGATTACTCATTTAAAAAAAGAAAAAAAATTTAGAATTTATGTATGTTCTAAGGTAATAAAACAGTCCGTACATGTGGAATGTGTTCAAACCCAAGCTTCTAGGTCAATGAGATGCTGAACAAAGCTTTCTTCTGCTCATTTCAATTCGCTACTTCTTCACACTTGTTACTGTTGCTCACTTTCCATTCCCCATCAATCACCTTCACCATCGAACACCCCTACCCTCAACACACACACTTCTCTAACCTTCTTTGTTATAATTCACATGATGATCCTAACTGATACCCTCATCAAATAAAAGCAGCACTCACATTTCTTTTGGTGTATTTAATCTGTTAAAATTGCCCCCTCAAAACAAATCAGTAAAACAATATATAATTTATTTTTCTGAGTTTTTTGTTTCAGCAGAGTAACCACCAAAACTAGATTTCTATCTCTCTTAGGCCCTGAAACTAAGTGCCACAGTTAAACCGATACAGTGAGAGCTAACAGAACTAGAGCAAGTATTCTGATTTCAAGATTGTCAAAGTTGAAACAAGCGAGAGTTAAGTAGAATTCATAAAATTCACTGTTACTTGAGAAACAGCAACAACACTTGCACAATTTCATCACAGATTCTGGAACTAAGTTCTGCTGCAGTAAATACTGAATATTAAAACAAAACAAAAAATAGGTGCACACATATATGCAGAGGTTTCACACTACAGTTAATAAAGTAATCACAGAATTGGAGTTCAGATTACTTTATACAAATGATTTTAGAGGTCATCTGTTAAGATGGGAAACCAAACAGTTAACTTGTATTTGGAAAACTCAGAGTATAGAACACCACCTTCATTATCATTAGCTTTAAAGAAAAAAAAAAAGATAATGAAATCTTTGTTATTAAATCCAGTATTCCAGGAAGTGTTCAGGAAAAGCAACAGTCCAGTTTAAGAAATGCTCTGTTTCTATTCTACTTACCTATACTCTACTTTAGAAACTCCAGCTTCATTTTAACTAAACATTAAAAAATGGGTTTGCTTTTTTTTTTTTTAGTAGAACACACAGAAT